TGCAGCAGGGATGCCAAAGCAGGTGTGGACCAGCAAAAGTGTTGTTCCAGAGCATTTTTTAATATGGGGCATCTTTGAAAAAGCCTCAGCTGGTGCTGGGATTGGGGGTCGGGAGGAGACAAACCTTAAAAATAAACCATCCAAGTTAAGATGAATCCGATGCCAAGACTGATACCATGATCCAGATGAACAAATTCTCTAAAGAGAATGTTTTGTGCAGCATACATCCCTCATTGGCAATGTCTCTGTAGACCCACCGTAAGTGCAGCTGAAGGCTTGGTCTGGCTTGAACCTTAACCCTATCTTAGGTCTTGGCCCCACCTCCACCTCAAGCTCAAAGGGGAAAATTCCTTCTGAAACCTCCTCAGCCCACTTCCATCTGTAGGTCTTCTTTCTTTCCTGACCCTGACATGCTTCCTTGACTGAGGCCTTCTCCTTTGCTGAACCCTAGCTCAACGCCAGTGCCACAGCAGGAATAAACAAGCCTTGAGGGAACAATTCTTTTGACAACCTAGTTTTTGTCAGCCTCTTTGCAGCCACTGTAGAAGGCTTTATCTCTTTTGCAACCAATACTATAATTCCTAATATTGTTCCTGGCCTTAGCTGATCCTTGTTCAAGACCCAGTGCCCTGGCCCAGATGAACAAGTTCTCAGGGGACAATTCTTTTTACAGCTTTGCCCTCACTTTTTCAGCCTGTTTGCAGGCCCAGTCCAACAGGAGCTCTAGGTTTTCTCTGTCCCCTAACACTAAGGGAATCATAATCCGAATCCTAACCTAGGTACATGTTGTGCTTTATATCCCTATTCCCAAACAAGACCAAGCTGAGAAAATTTTCAGGGAATTTACTAATTCTTTTACCACCTCACAACTCTCTTCCACTACCTTTGTTTTAGTTTTCTCTTTGTAGCCCTGTTTCAGTTACCAGAGCTCTAGTTTTTCCCTCTTTCTTAGACCTAAACCCTAACCATTGAACTCGATGTGCTATCAATCAGCCTTCTCACAAGTTAAAACCTTACCATGTTCTGACCTTTTTGCCACAGTTTCCACTCCCATTCGACTATTTATGTATGAGAATTCCCACATCATGTAATCCTTCTTGGTTTGCTGGAGGTTTTCCAGAACCTTCAAGGCTGTACTTCTGGGGTTTCCCTTTCTCTCATTCCTTATTCTTATGGACAGAGACACTGTCACACTTCATGAGTGCTAATATACGAGGACCGTTCCATCCATCCAGTCTCAGCTCTTACTTTCAATTATAGGATCTTTTTATTGACAAGGAAACTTTGAGTTTTCTTTTTGTGTCAACTCTGTCCAAAACTATAAGAATAGAGGAAGTTTATAGGCAAGAAAATTCAACCCTTGTCCAGACAAAATTTTCTCCGAGATCTTTTTGCAGATCACACTTTTCTTCGTCAGACCCTTTCTGTCCCCTTCAATCTAGAACTCTTTTTTTTTTTTTTCTTTTTTTTTTGCATGGACGAAGTTGTTAATCTACCCTACCAGCTAGCCAGAGTGTGTGCTCTGTCCCAGTGTGCAGTGTCTCTAAGTGTGAATTTTACATGTGTTCATAATTTCTTTCTCCAGCTCTGTCACACACCATCCTACAGTATTATCTTTAGGTGTTTTTTCTTTCTTTGAAGCTGTTACCTCCATTTTAAATGTTATTTCTGTTATACTATGAGAGTACTATGTGTCATTAAAAACCCTGACTGATAAAGGAACATTTGAGGGAGAACGAGAGGTTTCTGCCTAGGTTTGGCATGTTTGCCCTTAAGGCAAAACTGTCTTTGAATTCCACAATGGGCTTCACCCTATGAAAAAGACAATCATACCTGTGTGAGTTTTGGGAACCCTCAACAACCCCAGCCAGGAGGGCCTTAAACCAGTCAGCTGTGAGGCCAACATGCTGCAGAACTCAGTTATAAGGACCGTCTTTAGGTTAAGTGGTACTGCTTTTTAAATAATGTTAACACTACTTGCGGCCTTTATATATGGATAGAGCAATATGCAAAATATTTTTCCTTACAATAAGGAAATTAATTTTGTTATCTGTTTATGAGTAGTTTTCTATTGCTAAATTATTCATTAGTACCACTTTTCATTTAACTCTCAGCAAGTTACATACACATCCATAGAAAAGTCCAGACCTGTAGGGCTGTCACTACAGAACCAAATTAAGTGTCCAGAATTTGAATCAATGGTATTTTCAATTTGACTTGAGGGCATGAGTTTTTGATGGAGTAAATAACCACACAAATATTTTTTCCCTTCTGAATGGCATAGAACTAATGACATACAAATCAGTTTTCTCTGTTTAGGAACCTCATTGATAGTGTTTTATTTTTATTCTTTAGCTGCATAATGAACTAAAATATCATATTTTATTTAAATGGCTTGACTATTTTCAAGCTTACTAGAGAATTATGGGTTGGACTGTGGCTGTTGGCAGTCTTAGATGATATATTTGAAGAAACTTTCCTTTTAATCACTAGATACAGTTGGTGGCAGGAATAAAATTCTGTTAAGAGTTTACTGAAGGAAGGGTTCTGTTTTATCTACGTTTTATCTTTTGTTCAAAATTCTTAAGATAATATAGCTACTTAAAATAAAGAATTTTTCACCTTTTCCTACGCCCTTCCCCATCTCTTCCCTATCTCTTCAGATTCCTTCAGAATACAATCTTCCTGTCTGAAAGCACAGTAGCTTGCTGCCATAGTCATAAGGAATTCAGCATTTCAGCAACTGTGAGGTGACTTATTAATTAGTTGTCATTTCACCCATGCCTAAGCTTGCATAACTTGTTCAGATGCCTGCATATTTTCATGCATGTTATTCCTCCCAGGTGGTGTAAGCTTCCTGGCAGAGGTGATTGTTTGTTTTGAGCAAGCGGGTGTTTTTTTTCTGTATTGTGTAGGTCCGTGCAAGTGCTATACACTGTGCAATTTCTCAACTATGATGAGGCAGAGTTGATTTTTCCATGTTGACAGGTACAGGAAAATATGGAAAAGTAGAAGAAAATTAGTTCAAAGAATACAAGAGAAGCCTGGATTTTTTGGCATTGGAAACTGGCAATGTTGTGTATCTTTCCTCCATATTACACTGTGAAATCATCTTATCTAAGGATTCTCAAATGAAAATAAAACATAAAACACATACATCTATGTCCTTATTGTCTCAAAGGTTATTTATAAGCTGAATTGAGCACTTGAGAAACAAGTAGGGCAATCTGAAGCTTTCATCGAGAGAATATTTGCTGTGATACTTTTAATATTAGTTGTGATTTCATTGGAAAATAGATATAACTCAAAGAAAATTTGCTGTGTATTGAATCATTGCTCAGGGAAGCAAACTTCAACTGTATATTGTTTCCTGTTATAAAATGTTTCAAGATTTTAATGAAAGTTTCATATCATCATGGCACATTCATTCACTTGATATCAAAGATTTACACTATGAATTTCATGCAATACCTGGAGATGAAAACTTAGGCTGCTTTTGATTAGCAGTTGTTTCACTCAGGAAAGCTTGATTCTTTAGCTTATTAGAGAGTGTTAGTGAAATGCTTTTTACACACATTACTTTTATAATTTTAAGTAAAGTGGCAAAAGAGGAATTAGACTTCTCTACACTTGATTTTGATCCTCAACTTTTTGCAAAGATCAGTGCAACTTTATACATTTCAATTACTTGCAATCTGTCACTTCTTGTAAAGCAAAATTATTAGTTACCAAAATTGATATAAATTCTTAATTTCTATCAGAATATAGAGAATTGTCATTGCACTGTGTTCATATAGCAATATATACCATGCGATTCATTTTTCATGGCCTGAAATATTAATTAGATCATATTTGTAGAATTACAGTCCATATATATGATGACTCCAATTTTTAAGTGGTTTCAGATAATAGATCACAGAATAACAGAATATTCTGAGTTGGAAGGCACCCATTAGAATCATCAAAGTCCATTTTCTGTCCCTGCCACAGAATCATCCCCAGGCATCACACCATGACCCTGAGAGTATTGTCCAAATGCTTCTTGAACTCTGTCAGGCTTGGTGTTGTGACCACTCCCCTGAGGAGCCGGTTCCAGTGCCCAGCCATCCTCTGGGTGAACCTTTTTCTAATATCACAACCTAAACCTCCCTGACACAACTTCAGGCCATTCGCTTGGGTCCTGTCACTGGTCACCACAGAGAAGAGATCAGTGCCTGACCCTCCTTTTCCCCTCCTGAGGAAGTTGTAACTGCAATGAGGTCTCCCCTCAGTCTCCTCTTCTCCAGGCTGAACAGACCAAGTGTTTCCTAATGGTGTTAAGTTCTGCACATATAACTTCTAGGTTAGGTTACCTCTCCTCAAATATGAAAGAATGGCCCCTGCTGTCCTGTCAACCACAACAGTTTTCTGTTTCCGCAGCAACATACCTTATTAAACCTGTAATTTGTTCAAATGCTCTTGCTTTTCTATGAACTCCTTCAAATTCATAGGGATCTCTTTTAGTGATCCTAGGAGATGAACATGTGCTATCATAATCCCATACCTTGTTGTTCCATAATGTGCTGCATTTTTGAATACAAACCTAAATTGTACAAATCAGTTTTGCAGCCATATCCTGTTGCCAACCTCTGTCTCATTCACTTTTAGATTTCACCCTTGGGACTTCTATATCATTAATCTTACCTAGACCTCTCCACCAGACTGAGTATTTCTGTATCTGTTTTCAATTGGATTTCCCCCGGTATATTAGGTTGATTTTTTTTTTTTTTCCTTTTTGGAAGCAGCAGCTCATTTTGCTGCTTTTTCACAGATTTCTAATCTTTCCAGGTCTCTTTGTGTCATATCATTTAACTCATTGTTTTTCACAGCTTCATTCAAGATGAGTGTTTTCAAATTACTGTCCTGTTTACTCTAGCCACCCAGTCATCCCCGAAGAGCTAACTGGAACCAGCACTAACTGACCTCCAAAGCCAATCAGTAGACCATTAACTTTCACTCCTGTTTGGGATCTGTCAACCACATGATAATCATTTTTACTACCCCATTTGGATGATTCCTCAAAGCAATTTTTTCCTCCATATTGTTTCTCATTTCCAAGTATAAATTAAGTCATTCCATACCTGTCTGCTGAAATTGGCAGCATGCCTCTTAGTCAGTCTTCCAACACGGGCTGTGGGTGGTATAGAGCACATTTCAGTTTCATCACTGAGAATCTGACATGTGCCTTGGCCTCCATTCCTGGTTTGCAAGTAGGTATTGGAAAAACAGTGAGATGAATACAGTAATGGAAACCTAAAAAGAAATTTAGCAATCATAAATTTATTATCTTCTTTATCAGTCTATGACTGCAAGTGATAATGAAACTGCTGGATTCTGCAGTAGAAAAATGTCTTCTGTGTCCAGAATATCCATTATATATTTCTAGTTATTCGTGGATGATTAAAATACAAATGAGGAGGAAAAAATCTGATTTGCATAATAATCTGAATGACTGATTGTTGATTTTTGCATATCCATGGATGGTAATAGTTATTTATTTATTATTAAAAAATAATTTTTTCCTGACATTTAAGTGAGACAAAGCTTGAATTCCAAATGACTCTTGTGCTCTTCAGCTGGAACACCTGCAATATAAAGAACTTATTAAAAGGAAGAAAAATGTAGAAGATTTGTTTGATTGAATAATTCAAATCTTTTATCTGATTAATATTAATTGCTCATAAAATTTTAAATGGCTACATAGAAAGAAGGGAACAAAATCAAGTGAGATTTGAACTAATAAAAGGCATCTGTCCTGTAAAGTCAAATTTTATTTAATCTGTTAGTGTACCAGCCTTTTAATGATTGTATTCTGCAGCTCTGGAGTTATTAATTTTATCCAAAAGCCATATAGGCTAGTTTTTATCTGTAAGTGCTTCAAATGTCACTTGGACCTAGCATTCTCCAGTTTAATTCCTGCACTGGAATGAAAAGTCACAAAATGTCTCATTGTGCTATATCATAATGTGAAAATTATATCAGATGCTATAAACAATTTTATTTTTTCTTTTTGTTTCCATATCATCTTCAAAGTCATGGTTTAGGTTCTGATCTACTGCAAGGCTATGTGATGCCTTGTTGTAAAGCAAGTGATTATGGTGAAAATGGGTTGCAATCACATTGAACTAGACTGCCCATACTCATTTTTGATTATTATCTGCATATGGAGTGTTTTCGTTATCTGCATGCTGGAAATACCCTGAATGAAATAAGCATCTTCTGCTGTTTGATTTGTGCCTATGTATCTGTGTGTTTGTAGAATGCCAGAATAGCATGTAGTCAAATGTGAAATTCACCTCACAGAAACAATATACCGTCAGAAACAGCAGTTTCTATGAAATCTTTTAATTTCCAAGAAAACATCAAAAACATTCATAGCAACCACTCTCAGGGTGGCTGACCAAGTGGAAAAGTCTGCTGTGAGCTCTGTTACTATGGGTATATATGAAAGACATGCAGGAGTTGCTAGTTAAGCTTCATTTCTTAGAAATTCCAGACCTTAGGGATGTTGCTTAGAGCCAAACAGGTCTTTGATTGCTGCATCAGCCTCATTCATCAGCTGCTCAAAGCCAACAAAAGGACACTGAAAAGAAGTAGCTGATAACTCCCAAGGAGAGAGGAATTCTCAATTAGGATGTGTTATGGAAATATGGAAGGGAATAGGAAGATAGCCAGGGGTGTGTAATAGACACAAGCAGAGTGAGAGCTTGGATGAGGTAAAAGATGGGTAGCTGTATGGCATTGCTGTAGGATTGAGAAGTGCCCCCCTTAAGCACGGTGAAAGTGTACTCTTCTCACCTGTGTGGTACCATAGTTGAGAATACTCCTCCAGTTCATACCTTGTGTGGAGGAGCAAACTGATCTGCTTTTGATGAGAGGTGGTTTATGAAGACTTAAGAATCTGTCTTTTGGGAACTGAATTTCCTAAAATTCCCCCTATAACCTGTTGCCTGCTGCAAATAACCTTACGTAGGTTACAGGGTGCCTTACAATTTTTGCCAGGTATGTCAGGTTGTGTCTTTTTTTTTTTTTAATGAGATGACTGGAAAATAGTGGATGCATTAAAGATTTATATTTTCTCATCTCTGAGTTGAATGTGTGAAACACTAATGCATTAACTATACTTATGGATGCCATAAAGAAGATTAATTAAGTTGTAATGACCACTGATGAGCTGTTTTTTCCTTAATGCTTCATTTTTTATAAGAAGATTTAAGTACCTAGCACTTTGTATTCCATGGAGGAAACACAAGGACTTTACTCCCTTCTTTTATTATTTAATATGGGCATGAAAGAAGGCTGATGGCATCCTGAGCTGCAATAGGCTGAGCATTTCCAGCAGGCCAAGGGAGGTGATTCTTCTCCTCTGCTCAGCACTGGTGAGGCTACATCTGTAGTGCTGCATCCAGTTCTGGGCTTCCCCCACCAGAATACAGAAATGGGCATACTGGAGAGTCTTGTGATGGGCTACAAAGATGATTATGGGACTCGACCATCTCTCCTATGATGAAAGCCTGAGAGAGTGGGGGCTGTTTAGTCTGGAGAAGGAATGCTCAAGGGGATCCTGTCAATGTATAGAACTATCTGATGGAAGGGTGCAAAGTGGACAGAGTCAGGCTGTTATCAGTGGTGCGCAGTGAAGGACCAAAAGCAATGGGCTCAAACTGAAACACAGGATGCTCCCTCTGAACATCAAGAAACAATTCCTGGCATTGTGAGGATGACTAAACACTGGCAAAGGTTACCCAGAAAGATTGTGGAGTCTCCATTCTAGAGATGGATTCAGAACTCATCTGAACATGATATTGGGCAACCAGCTTTAGGTGGCCCTGCTTAAACAGGGGATTGGACAAGTTAACCTCTGGAGGTCCCTTCTATCCTCAGCCACTCTGTGATTCTGTGGTTAAACTAGAGTGGTATTGGTGAGGATGGGATTTTGGGAGAGATACAAGAGACTTCTACCCAGAGATGATAAACAGATGCTGAAATTCCTCTAATGGGACATGGTATATGACTTTCGCATCTCTGAAAAAGAAATCCACAAACACTTCAAAGAATAAAAAGTTTGGTGTGGCAAGAAATAAGGGATTTCCAGTATGTATAAAAAGTCTAGCAGATCCTACTAATTTAATGACTATTATCACAAGTATTCATTTATCCTGTGTCCTCTCATTAATTTAAACTCTTCTGGTTACTTTCTTCTGTTTCACCAACCAAGGAATGAAAACTGAAAAATCCCAATAACAGGTTTCTGGATTTCTATCAAAAATAGAATTGGTCAACTACTGTGTACAGCTGATAGAAGTAGCACTCTTTTATTAAGACTTGCTTCTTTCTTCTCTTTCTTAGCACAACATTATAGTAGTCAGTAACCAGACTAAACCAGTTCACACCAGAATAGCTTTATCACTGTTCATGTGCTGAAAGGTTTAAGAAGCTAAAAGGATACCCAAGTATAGAAGTAGCTCACAATAAGGAAGAATAAAATGGCCTAAACAAAGGACCAGCTGACTGGAGTCCTGTTCCTTCTATCCAGTAGCATATGACACTACAGGTGAGACCCAACTGTCTACTACTCCTTGCTAATCTGCCCTGGAAAATTGAAAAGGCATATAATTTGATAAAGGTTACTAAGACACGTAAAGCTGACTGTAACTGAAGGGTGCTACCTATTGTATTTAAGTACATAGACCTTTCAATTCAGATAAAAGGAAGATACTCCTGGAGACTTCAGGTTTGTAAGGGTAAAGATGCAGGTTCTGACAATCTGAATTCCATTTCAGGTTCATTGTGTGGCTTCCTATTAGCTACTCACCTCTGAGGAACAGAGTGGAACAGAAAATGTTGTGCAGGAGAATTGCAGTGTAATTTGTCACCAGAATCTGTGCTCATGTAAAAGTCCTAATGCTTCAGAAGTCCTAAAAAGACATAAACCTCAGGGTCAAAAAAGGAGAAAATCAGTCATGGAAGAGGTGCATGATAGCATCACGTTAACTCAGAATAAATACATGCCATACTTACTAGAAGATCATTTCTTTTGGAGAGAGAATATCAGGCAGAAAGTTTACTTCTGTGGGGAAGAAAGAAAGATAGAAACATCTTCAGCAATCTGTGTTTGTGATTTTTGGGTTACTGGAGGCAAAACCCAATGTTTACAAGGAAAGACACATGAGGTGACAATTTTATGATAAAAAATGGAGTAAAGAGAAACTGAACAAGCAGTACGTTTTGATTTTTTTAAAAACCTGAATCTCAGTCTCTGTTTCTGTCACCAGGGCTAATAATTTTATTGGTCCTTGTTGAATAAAGGTTCACTGTTCACTTATGGAACAAAAAATACCATTGAACAAACCTAAAGAGAGGAGAGATAGAGAGAAAAGAGATTTTTTTTGCCTTTCCCTCTGCACTCTCCATCTTCAAACAGGGAAGTGTGTAAAGCTGGAGAAGAACCCTAATACTTTTTAACTTCTGGACATGAAAGTGTTATAGGGCTTACAACCACTAGTTTGGGAACAGGACCTCAGAGAAGGACCATCAGTGGCTTATCCCAGCTGAGGAGCTGATGTGCTGCATTGCAGTTTTCAAAGTTCGGTGAACAGCTTAGAGATGTGTACTGCTGTCTCACTACTGTGCTCCCAAAGGGACAGCATCAGCTTGAGAAAGGGCACTGATGTGATGAAGCTGCAGTTTGCACATATGATTGCTTGCTGCATTCAATGAAACATCACTTGCCAGCTGGAGTTACGTGTTCCTTCTAACTGTGAGTAACATTTTATGACCTCAGATTAGATTCTACTTTTGGAAAAAACAACACAGTTCCTGGTCAATTCTTAGTATTTTACCTTCTTTCACTTGCCTGTGGTACTACTGTGGTTTTAATCATTTGTGATTACTGTTTATTTTTTTCAGGTATCTGAAAAACACTGATACATTTTGTTTTGCCAGCTTGAGACAAGCACTGGAGAAATTATTTAAGAGGCTTTGCACCTATTTACAGTGCCCTACAGTACTTCTCAGTTCTTAGTTAATGCTTTAAATAATAATGGTTCCAAGTGTTGGTAGTTCCAAAAAGTCATGTGAGTTTCAAACACATATAATAGTTAATCACCTTACATATAACAACCTCACAAGTGTATGGTGTAATCATAAATCATTTTATCCTTATGTTTTCTGCTATTTTTGCAGTTTAGAGCTGTTTTATGAATCAGTCTGTGTCCCAAGTACAGAGATAGCAAGAGAAATTGTAGATCCACTAAATGATATTGAGAGACTGATTTGTGGTAGACCTTTACAGCATAAATTTTCTTTTTTTTTTGAGATTGACACTTCCAAAAGAGCTTGTGACATTTCCAGAGAGGTTCAATGAATTTTTGGTATCAGCTGCTATTGAGCTGGTACTACAGAAAGGAAGTCATGTACTGATAATGTGAAGGGGATTACTAAATTATTGGTCCATAAGGAGAACCAAAGATACTAAAAATTGTCAACACTACTGCTTGCTTGTTTACTCTCTAGTAAACTTTGTTATAGTTGCAAATTCTGGAAAAGTGTTAGAGAAAGAAACCGTCAGCTTGCAGAAACAAGCTGTTGAAAGGGGGACTGAGAAGCCAACATGTGCTGGCTACAGTTGTAGAATATATCTAAGTCTTAATAAAGAGGCAGTGGGTCATCAGAAAAAAAGATCTTCTTATGTATTACTTAACATGTCATGCAAGAATGTGGCAATATTCAGTCGTGTGATATTCGTGCTTAGGAAGAGACTGTGATAAACATTACAGTCCTGAGGGGAAAAAAAAAATCCCACAGCTTCAGGCTGAACCATAAATTCAAATATCTATACGTAAAAGCAATGGATGCCAGAGCTGAGTGTGTATACAGAGCTCCCTGTGATAAAAACTTTTTAAAATTGAGATAATACCTTTTAAATATTTCGATGAGAGAAAAAAATAAAGCAAATAACTGGGACATCATTGTTAGAAAGGGTGTCTGAACACAGGACAGAGCTATTTGATGAGTTCTGAGACAAAAGCTGCAGATCAAAAGATGTACAAAAAATGTGCACAGTTAAGAACTTTACTATTCCTGTATGATTTCAGAGAAAGAAATCTCTAATCAAAGGCTGAATCTCTTGTGGAGCTTGTGAATCCAGCTTACTAGGGAGATTTATAAGAGGAGCAGCGTTAACTCTGTAAAGATATCTCCTATTGAATTTCAGTGTGAGCACTAAAGTAAAAGAGCCATCAGTTTGGAACAAGAATATCAAGCTAAAGGAAGGCAAGAAATAAGACAAAGATAGAATAATGGAGAAAATAACCCTCACAGGCTAGCATGCTAGAAAGATCATAAAAAAATTCAGAAGAAAGAGCACATAGAAGAGGGAGGGAAACAAATCCAAGACAAATCCCAAATTGCAGGTAGCCTAAGGACAAGAAATTCTCTATGTACCCTAAATGAAAATGTGGAGCTATATATTGCACAGAAGCACATGTCTAGCAAATCTAAATTCTCTCAGGGCACACACTTTGCTGCCAGCTATTCCACTGACGTATTTAAGACCAGTTCGGTGATCAGTTGGATTCTTGCTGGATAGTTCATTGAGTTCAGCAGTAGTGGTAACGTTAGCTTAGAAAAATGTGATGGATTCTCAGATTCAGGAATGTGTAACGAAAACTAAAAATAAGAGAATTCCCTACCAGAATTTTGAGAAACACACCTTTTTAGGAATATGGAGAGTCTAAGTTCAGATTTCTCTCTCTTTTTTTTTTTTTTTTTTTTTAAATTCAGCTTAAGAATTTTATTTCAACCCAAATTACCCATATCCCAAATGCAATCTCTTACCACAGCGTAGTCATTCTTAAAAGGGTCTTGATACTTCTTTTTATTTTATATATAGAGCTAAATATTCACTGAGTTAGATGAACAATGTCCTCTGTGGTGCAAAGCTTTAGTTTTATAACAGTTTTTCCCACAAAATGCTAATGCTTTTGCATTGCACTGCATATGTCAGAGAAGGAAAAACCTTTTCTTGTCTGTTTCTGAAGAAGCACTAGGCAGTGGTATCTACTGACTTTTGGAGGTTTATCAGTTGGATAATTAGTTCATTGCTTATACAGATGGCTAATTTTTAAATTGGAATTTGACATGTCAATACTTAATTATTCTCTCATACTTCTGCAGTTATCTTTATCAATCCAACCTGTAATTTCAACCAAAATGGAATCTTATTTGTTTGACAAGACCCATTTTTATTCTAGCAACACCAAGTGACATTAAATGTACTCTTATAATTTAATTCTCTCTTGCTTGCATCTGTTTCAACCTTTTCATAACGGCAAAGGCAAGGGGCGTGATTGAGAAATGATGAGTTTACTACATCAAATAGGAAACATGATGCAACAGAGGGTGAAATTGCTTATAGAAGAATTCAATGTAATGAAAGAGATGTGACTCTTTCACGATCGCATCCACATTTTCAAACACAAATGGAAAAATAAAACAAAAAAAACCCACCACAAGCAAGAAAAATATCCTGTAAAGTATATTCATTTTTGGGAAAGAAATTTGCTGTTCAAAAGGCAACTGTAAAGGACATGTAACAAAGAGCATACAAAGACCTCTCATCTCCAGTTTTCATACTGGACTGATTAGAAGATTATCTTTCTTTGCCTTTTTTGTTAAGTGGTGATAAAGCATAAAGCAATATCTCAGTGACCCTTGGTTCTCAACATGCCCTCAATTTTATTATACTGTGATATGTAATAGTTTATTGCTGATATAATTCTGTAGAGCTCACATAAATGGGTTGCTCAGATGAATTAGCTGCTTTAAATCAGTTAGTAATTTAGCCTGAAATAGGTTGTTCCAGTTACAGAGTTATCAAGCATCAGAATACTCCAGCCACATTGCCTGACATCCTACCATCTGACTTTTTAAAAAGGTCTAGCTATTAATGCTCATCCTGCTTTTCTGAAGCAGTGGCTTGTGTAAAGTCTCTACACAATCAAAAAATGAAAGTGAAAAAGTTTGTCATTCTTTGTAATTATCTCACATTTTTCTGCAATAGTCTAAAATCATCAACTTGCGTCACACCAAGAGGAGGACAGGAAATTTTGTTTTGTTTCTTTTAGCTAAAGGAGATCAACTTCTACAAACATAAATTTTCTATAAAACCATGGCTTTGTGCTGGTGATTTAAAGAAAAATCCATTAGGAATACTTAAACACTTCTTTTTGCCAAATTTGAAATATTAGCTTCAGTTCAGCATTAATCTGGATCTCCTCCTGTTAGTGAAATTTCATAACATCTGTCCATTAGGTGCTTGGAGTCCTGCCTCCAGGCATTCTGGTAATCTATGTTCCCCAGATGGATTATAACTCCCATGATTCCACATAGTAGCCTTTTGACTGAAAATGAGAGGAAGTATGAGTGTCAGGACATTGTGAAAGATGAAGTCCTGACACTGAGCACTGCTTATGAAGTAGATTATGAGCTGCTGATGGTACAACTCCTGTGAGACCATGTGGGATGATAGATAATCCAATTTAATGTCAAACTGACTTATAACACAATATTTAGCTATTTTTGAATCAGAGTTTTTCTGAACTTTCTGATGAGAAAAAACCCTCAATATTTTGACATACATTTGGAATGAGAAGTTGCTTTTCCAAAGGATTAGAAATTCAAACTTTTGCTTATATTATTTTTGCAGTATAATGTGATACTCCAAAGGCTACAAAACCCTACTGAAAAGGCAATCTGACTCACAGACTACCTTAGATCATCTTACTCCTTTCTTCTCTATCATCCCACTGAATGTTTTTTTAATATTGTCTTCCTCCTACTAGTTAAGGGATGAATTTTGCAGACATCAGGAGCCATACCTTCCTTCCTTTCCTTCTTACCTTTATAAAAAATATCTTTGGTCAATGATAGTAACACAACTACATTTGAAACACTGCCAAGGAAAACTACCGTTGTAGATGGAGAATATAATTTTTTTATATTTCAGGTTTTTTCCTCTAAAGATAAGATGGTCTGAACTTAATTCAAAACTAATACATCCCTTTTGCT